ATTGCCCCTCACCCTTTTTTTTGTATAGTGCCATGGGACTCTTACACCCACCAGAAAGGCTCTTTGTCTTTACAAAAACCAGCCTTGGTTTTGCACTCATCTCTCTCTAATGGAGGATGTGACCCCTAACCTTTGGATTGGGAAGCAAACAATCTACCACTGAGCTAAAGATTTCGGTGCAGTCTTAGTAGGCTGAAGGGCCTGCTCCTGTGCTGGACTGTTCTTTATTCTTATCTGAGCTGCACTTGTTTTCCCTCTAGCATTTGCTATTTTTCTTGTCACAAGCCTCAATAATGGTCTACAACTCCTCGTTTTTGTCAGCTCGCCATAGTGTTACACACTCTGGCACACGTGCACATTGAACTTGTTTCTCCACTCAAAAAGATTGTAGCTAATCTTCTACTATGCCCCTGTTCATCTTCCCCCACTACCCCTAGATCCCTTAATTCCTCTCGTATGCAAAATCTAGCAACCTCTGTCTTGAATATATTCCACAACTGGGCATCTACAATCTTTGAGATATTCACAACCAGTAGTGTGAAGAAAATTCTCCTCATCCCCAGCCCTAAAGGGCCAAGCACTTATTCTGATACCATAGGCCCTTGTTCTATATTCTTCAGCCAGTGAAGCGCTTTTTCAGCATCTACCCTTGTCAAACTCTTTGAGAATTTTACGTGTTTATTCTAAAACAGACAGTTTAAAATAAGTTGAACGCCTAGCCTCCTACAAGTCAGCAGAAAATCAAGAGGTCAGTGTAATTCTGTTGGAAATTAGTTTTGATTACTGGGAAACCTGGCCACCCACTCCAGTGATCTCCTCCATTCCTGTCTCTTGCAAGATAGTTTCAGCGTCGGGGAGGATAAGACAAAGGCACAGTTATCACAATATTTTAAGACTGCGGCCTTGTCCAGTCTGTAAGCTGGGTGTGTCCATGAGTGCATTGTGTCCTTGCTGCAGCACTACCATCCTGTAAGTGAAGCAGAGCTATGCCATGAGGGTTCTTTTGGGTGGCACATATCTGTGGATGTGTGATACGTGCGGCTGGCGTCAATAGAGTGTGCCCTGAGATATTGGTGCCCTGTGGCCGATGTGGAGATCATTTAGAGCAAGTGGCAACCTGATTCCAAGATGCCTTTAATGCCCCTCCTTCCTTTCTCCCTGAATATGGTGGAAGGTAACCCCTTTCCCCTCCAATGTGTTGGTGACGCAACTCCTGTGGAATTCTTTTCAAAAGTTTGGAGTGTGTAGAGGGAGCTGGAAGATGAACTCTCTCCCCCTCTCTCACTCTCTCATACTCCTTCTCTCCCTTATCTGCAGTGCAGGGCTGTAGTGACCCCTGTACCAATGGTTTTCAGCTTGAAGAGCCCTCCCACTGTCATTGACTGGACGAACAAGTGCACCCTCTGGCCCCTAGTTGGCCAATCGATGGAAAATTCACATCACAGCGTGGGCTTAGGATCCACACTGGACCCCAACATCGGTGTCGCAAACCAAAATGCAAAACCCTGCCCCAGTGTCTGTATCAACATCTGTTTGTCAATGCTGAACAAATTAATGTATCATTCATCTCCTTTGCTATTTCTGAAACCTTGTGTATCAGTCAGCCTTTGTATAAACTAACACAACAGACTACGTTAAAAAATGTCAATTACTTTGGAATTTGTGTTCTTTTTCTCTCTTCTGCTCAGGCAGTCCCTTGAGATATAAATGGAATAGCCTTTCCTGCCAGCTGTTAAAGTCATCCCCTTATAAATTACAGTTGAATTTTTTTTTAATCACCCCATTCTGAGATGTTATGACATACCTCTGGAGCAGGTGGGACTTGATCCTGGGCCTCTCTGGCTTTAGAGGTAGGGACACTATCAATACACCACAGCAAGCCCATAGTTACTGAAATAAATATCATTCACCTGCCTAGGATGAGCTTACCTAGTGATGAGCACAAAAACGAAAACTAAAATCAGGGCTGTGATGATCTGAATCTGCTTGGCTGCCTTTTGGTGGATTGTCCCACTCTCTTACCTTGCATGTCACCGGCCCAGACATAAAAATGAATAACTGTCTCTGAGGTGACAGTGGAAATGTTGTACGTACTGCTGTGCAGATCTGTCCAAGTACTCACCTCTGAGGGCAGGGGGTCTGCTCATTGCTGCCTGGAACTGTGAGGGGCCTGTGTAATCTCAGTTCTTTTCCAGTCAATGTGCTAGCTCCTTATCATTAATCTCCACAGCATTTACTGCACACTCCTCGATTTTGTTCCAGTGCCATGGGAAGAGCCAATAACTGGAATACTTAAGTGGAACTTGGCAGAAGGATAATGCTGGTGAAATCAATAATGCAACAGGCAGGCCTGGAGCAAGTGCTAAATCAGCAAAATGTAACATTTCTCTGGAGATTGTGATTCCAAATTGGAACTGATTCATAAATTAGGTTTTTGTTTATCATCAGAGTTGGCACTGTTCCTTCAGTCACTGTTCTGTGCCGAGTTACTGACTGTGATGGTCGGCATTTGTTCAGAGACCCAGTGGAAGGATGACCCCCTGACCTCTGGTGAGAGGGTCATACATATGAACTTAGTGATGAGTGAAGTAATAAGGCAGGGTTCCCATTTCCAATCCCCATCTAATGATCCACATCGGAGCATTGTGCATGTTTGGACACTGAGCAATGCTGTCTTGGCGCTTGACCAACACGGAGTTTTTTTGGCAGCGTTCAGTGTCGAAATTAAAACTTGAAATGATGGGAAGGTGCAGGGTTGAAGGGCAGACTGCTGTCAGAAACATTATGCAGTACTGCTTCCAAAGGCATTCAGGCCCATCTGTGTCCAAAATTGAGCAGGCATCGTTTAAAAAAAAAAGCTTTGTGTTTAAGCTTTTGTGGCATTGCTGCTCCTGTACTTAGTGTGGAACCCCTTTGGTCATTCACACAGAGATAAAGGCTATGTCCACTATAATGCAACCTTTGAACCCCACCTCCCCCAACTAGCCCTTCCTCCTTCTTGTGCTGTGGTTTATTTCAAGGTACGAAATCAAACGACATCAGGTTATAGACCAACACGTTTATTTGAAAACGCAAGCTTTTGGAGTCTTACTCCGTCGTCAGGTCCCGGTGAGAAAGGTAGTATCAGACACAGAATTTATAAGTAAAAGATCAAAGGGCCATGCCACTGATGAGGATGTAGTAAACAGACCTAAGATGCTGTTAAATCCTTAATTAGGTAGAAGGTTTTAATTGTCCACCCCAATCCAACACTGGCACCTCTACATCATATTTCGAGGTAAAGGGAGACAGCTACAAGTTCTGTGAGAGCTGCTGAAGAAATGTGAGCCACAGAGACCTGTTCCTGTCCAATAGGGTAAGTGTACCTCTTCCCTCGCACTGCATGGCAGGGTCAACTTGGTGCCCATAGTTTGCACAGTCTGGCAGCCTGTGGGCACTTGATCACATACAGAATAGTTATTTCAGCAAGGCACTAAATAGTGTCTGTGCAACTGTCCAGCTGTGAGAGAGTCATTGAATTTAAGAGAGGGACTGGACGGAAGATGGAGTTCATTGATTTCTTTTTCAGCTCAAGAAGAGCAAAATTAATTGCAGGAAGTTTTCAGGTGATTTGGTAACATTTTGCTGTCCCTCTCCCTTGTAGCTGATGGCGAGGAACGGAGTGGATAACCTGCAGGTAGCCTTGGCCTGTCAGACAGTGCAGAAAAATTCCCTGATTGCAGCAGTGCAACAGGCTCTGTCCTCTCCCATGGAGAAACCTGCCCATTCCCTGGATTCAAAGGTTCGAGAATCTCTTTTCATGCATCTAGCTTTCCCTTCAGGTTTGGAGTCTTTCTCTTGATTTTAGATTTTCTTGGTCTGGTCACTTCAGAGGAAGGATTGTAATGTCACCCTGTGATTGGTAAAAGAGCTTCTGTTCCACTGGCTTCCATTCTCAACTCATACAAAGGTTTCTGAACTACTTTAGGCTCGTTCGCGAAGGGGAGGCCCGTGTTTTTTATCTGCTGTCTCTGCGGTTCCCCAGCCGTGCCTTGAAGGCAAAACCCTTGCTGAACCCCCCTTACCAGATTGAGTTGCACCCTTGCTCAGTTCCTGGAGTATCTCTGTTGAAGAGTGCAGATGATGGAACAGCAGCAGACCTAGCTACATTCTGCTCTTCGTCCCTTTGATAAACAGTCTGTGTTTCATTGGTGTGAGTGGGGAAAGGGGAAATGTTTAGGGCAGAGTTTTGTTCTCTCCCCTGAGAATGGGAAATCCAAGTTGTTGTCCTGACCCTGACAAATAAACTTGCAAGTGAAGCGTTCACCTATGAGTTGAAATTCGAGAGCTGGCTGCTTTGTCTTCTCCTCAGTCTTAGGGAATGAAACCATCAAAAAGAAAGCCAAATTCTGCAGATGCTGGAAATCTGAAACACAAACAGAAAAGGCTGCAAACACACGGCAAGTCAAGTAACATCTGGGGAGAGAAACAGAATTAAGCCTTTAGGTGATGACCTTTCATCGCTGTCCCCAGATGCTGCATGACATAGAATCCCTACCGTGTGGCAGTAGGCCATTCGGCCCATCAAGTCTCCAAGTCACCCAGCCTCCGACCCGATCCCCACAACCCCGCATTACCCATGGTTAACCCACCTAGCCTGCATATTCCTGGACACTATGGGCAATTTAGCATGGCCAATCCACCTAACCTGCATATCTTTGGACTGTTGGAGGAAACTGGAGCACCTGGCAGAAACCCACACAGATACAGGGACAATATTGCAAACTCCACACAGTCATTTGAGGGTGGAATCAAATCTGGGTCCCTGGCACTGTGAGTCAGCAGTGCTAACCACTGGGCCGCAACTTGCTGAGTTCTTTCGGCATTTTCTACTTTTAATTTGCAGAATTACAGAATTGTTACGGTGCAAAAGGAGGCCATTCAGCCCATAATGCCTACTGTGGCTTTTCAAATGGACATCATTACCTGGTGCCAATCTCCTGCTTTCTCCCCATTCGGTGATGTATACATTTCTCTTAGGCTACCACGTGATAGACATTGATGTTGATTCTCGTTTAATTGTTAAGGATGGAATGTCAAGTTATAGAAGTCAGGAGAACTTGGCCAGTACAAGTTTCTGTAGCATTGCCAGAGACTCGGAGAGCCAACAACTTACCACCTTACTCGGAATACCCCGCACTCTCGGAAATCGGAAGCAGCTGCTTTCTACCAGAAAAAGGTATGACTAGGTTACACTTCTGACAAATATTTGTCTTTTGCAGTGTCTGCAATAAAAGAAATATGCAAAGCATTTGATATGTGGAACTCTGCATGCCCCCACCGCCAGTGCAGTAACGGTGATTTCACCCACATTGACCATCGTTCTGCATCCAGCAGAGATTCCACTTCTGACTTTGTTCCTTTGATACAAAGTCACCCTGTCAAGCTTATTCTGCTTGCACTTGCTATGGTCAGGGCAAGGGAGGTTAAGTGCATGTCAGAGGTTAGGAGTGACACAGTGGCTCAGTGGGGGGGTGGGGTTGTTGGGGGGAAGCGTGGCAGTGTGGTGGGCCCAGTGGTTAGCACTGCTGCCTCTCAGCGCCAGGGATCCAGGTGTTCTGGTTTCATCCCACAGTCCAAAGATGCACAAGTTAGATGGATTGACCTGGGTTCAATTCCACCCTTGGGTAACTGTCTGTGCGGAGTTTGCACATTCTCCCCGTGGATTTCCTTCGGGTGCTCCGGTTTCCTCCCACCGTCCAAAGATGTGCAGGTTAGGTGGATTGGCCATGCTAAATTGCCCGTAGTGTTCAGGGATGTGTAGATTAGATGGGTTATAGGGGGATGGGTCTGGGTGGGATGCTCTGAGGGTTGGTGTGGACTTGTTGGGTCGAAGGGCCTGTTTCCACACTGTAGGGATTCTATGATCTATGATGTAAATTGCCCATAATTTCCTAACACACATAGGTTATATGTGTTAGCCATGGAAAATGTAGGGTAGAGGGATGGGTCTGTGTGTGATGCTATTCAGAGGGTTGGTATGGACTTGTTGAGCTGAATGGCCTGTTTCCACACTCTAGGGATTCTATGGATCTATGGATTCTATGGAATTGTGCAGCAAATAGCTCAGCTCATGTCTTCCCATTGACAAGGCACTAGTCAGGAGTGTGCTGAAATATTCTCCATTTGCCTGAATGAGTTCAACTCCAGCAACATTCAAGCTCAATACCATCCAGGATAAAGCAACCTGCATGATTAGCCCCCATCCAGTAACTACAACTTGCACTCCCTGCACTACCAATACACAGGAACAGCAGTGTGCACCATCTACAAAATGCTCTGCAGGAACTCTCCAAAAATCCTTCAAACAAACCTTCCAAATCCTGGACCTCTGCCACCTAGAAGACCCTGGAACATCATTGATTGTAAGTCCCCTTCCAAGCCACACACCATCCTGACGTGGAACTAAATCACAGTTCCTTCAGTATCATTGGGTCAAAATCCTAGAACTCCCTTCCTAACAGCATTGACGCTGTATCTACACCACAAGGACTTCAATGGTTCAGGAGGCAGCTTACCAGCATCTTTTCAAGGGCAAGTAAGGATAAGCAATAATTGCTGGCCAGCCAGTAACACCCACTTCCCATGAATGACTAAGAAAGTGTGACCTCTGCTGAGCTTCTGAACAGGAAGTTACGTCACTCATTAAGCTTTTAGCTGGTGTGTGCCCATTCTGACCATTTCCCTTGGGTGTGTGCCATGTGTTGGGGCAGCTGCCATCCTGAGACAGTCACAGGGCCTGTTCATTCTGGGAGGCTCCTGGCTAGCAAGGGATTGTTTAGCTCAGTTGGCTGGATGGTTGGTTTGCAAAGCACTGTGATGCTTTACGTTCAATTCCAATCACTGGCTGAGGTTACCATGAAGGACTCTCCTTCTCAACCTGTCCCCTCACCTGAGATATGGTGACCCTCAGATTAAATCATCACCAGTCGTCTCTCTGTGATGAGAGGGCAGCCGTATGGTCTGCTAGAACTATGGTGACACCATAACAAAATCCTTTGAAGAGATGACTGCTGACACTGGTACTGTTGGTGACACCTTCCATCACTTTACTGATGATCAACAGTAGACTGAGTGGGTTGGATTTGTCTTGCTTTTTATGTACAGGACATACCTGGGAAATTTTCCACATTGATGGGTAAATGCCTGTGTTGTGACTGTACTGAACAGCTTGGCCAGGAGAGTGCTAAGTTCTGGAGCACAAGTCTTCAGTACTATTGCCGGAATGTTGTCAGGGCCCATAGCCTTTGCAGAATCCAGCACTGATATCACGTGGAATGAATCAAATTGACTGAAGACTGGACCTGTAATGCTGTGGTCCACTGGAGGAGGCCACTCGGCACTTCTGGCTGAAGATTGCTGCGAATGCTACACCCTTGTATTCTACACTGATGTACTGGGCTCTTCCATCATTGAGGATGGGAATATTTGTGAAGCCTCCTCCTCCAGTGAATTGTTTTATTGTCCACCACCATTCACAACTGTATGTGGCAGGACTGCAGAGCTTAGATCTGATCTGTTGGTTGTGGGATCTGTCTATCACTTGCTGCTTATGCTGTTTGGCGTGCAAGTAGCCCTGTTTGGTAGCTTCATCAGGTTGACACCTCATGATTGGTACTGCTCCTGGCATGCCCTCCTGCACTCCCCGTTGAGCCGGGGGTGATCCCCTGGCTTGATGGTAATGGTTAAGTGGGGGATATGCTGGGCAATGAGGTTACAAACTGTTACAATTTTGCTGTTGTCCCACAGCACTGCATGGATGCCCCGTCTTGAGTTGCTCGATCTGTTTGAAGTCTAATCTATTTAGCACAGCGATAGTGCCACACAACACGATGGAGGTTGTTCTCAATGTGAAGGCGGGACTTCGTCTCCGCAAGGACTGTGCAGTGATCACTCCTACCGATACTGTCATGGACAGATGCATCTGCACCTGGTAAAGATAAGGTCAAGTCACTATGTGCTGCAGACCCAGTCTAGCAGCTATGTCCGTTAGGACCCGACCAGCTCAATCAGTTGTTCTGTTTGTTGTTTACTTTGACTTTGGATGTGACCTTTGGAGGTCAAACACATCCATGTGTCTCCAGATTGATACATAAGTCAATAAATTCTGTTTGAGTGTGAATATGTAAAAGAGGGAAGGAGAGAGACAAACTTATGAAGTGTTAAAAAAATGCAAACAGAGTCCAAAAGTAAACCCATCTTATACCAAAGAAAGAGCAGTGTTGTAATGGGAAAGGACATATGACAAGATTTTGGTGATGCCTCCTTTGCCTGACACCATACCAGGTAGTACCTAGACTTTAGGTGTGCTGTAATCCTCCTGCTTCAGCTCATTAAAATGGCCCAAGTAAACCCAGTACAACTCACACCCTTGTTCATCACCCTACCCAACACTGACATAGCTTTGTAAATACTTAATTCATGGGATGCGGGCATCACTGGCTAGACCAGCATTTATGGTCCATCCCGAATTGTGCTGGAGAAGGCAGTGGTGAGCTGCCCTCTTGCTGCAGTCTGTGGGTTGTAGGTGCATCCATGGTGCTGTTAGGAAGGAGGTTTTAGGATTTTGACCCAGTGACACTGAAGGGATGTCAGTGTATTTTTACAAGTCAGGATGGTGAGGGGCTTGGAGGGGACCTTGCTGATGGTGATGTTCCCATATATCTGCTGTGCCCTTGTCCTTTTAGGTGATAGCGGTAGTGTCTAAGCTGCCTTGCTGAATTGTTATGTCTTGTAGATGGTGCACCTTGTTGCTGGTGACAGAGGGAGAGTGGCTGTTGATGCCATTAGATGCGGTGCTAATTAAACAGGCCTCATTAGTTGGATGGTGTCCTGAGGACTGTTGGAGCAACCTCTAGGCAAGTGGGGAAATCCATCTGAATTTTGAAGAATGATAGTTTTGCCTCTCATAAGTCTGGTAGATTTAGGATGGATGACAGCAACTTGTTCCATTGATGACTTCTTAATTGAGTGGTGATAAATGGAAAGGGACAGATTTGCATCTGGTGAGTTGAACAGGTCAACAGCAACATTTACATTACCCATCTCTTTCTGACGCAGGCAGACTGTCCGTGGATTTCCAGGGTACTGTGAATTTTCCCTTTCAATTGTACACAATTTTAGTTCCACACTATATTTGATCTTTTAATTTAATTTTCTCCCTTTTATTACTTATGGACTGAAAAACACATGAATGGATGCTCAATGTTTTTGTTTACTTGTGCACGCATTGACAAAGAGATGTTCCCAGGAATTTAACTTATGCTGATTTTGGTTTTTGCAGAGCTCCAGAGGCGTTTGTTTCAATCCAGCTGGAGAAACTAGGCCCCCGTGACATGATGTTGAATGAGTTTATTAAAAAGAAAAGCACAGCGGGATCACTCATGAAAAACCCTGTGAGTACTGACATTTCCCTGTTGAGGATGTGGGCGTGACAAGGATAAAGGGCAGAAAGTCAGAGACTGGACTGAAAGCTTGCTGTCCCCATTCAACCTTGTTGTTAATGAACTGTGTGCGTCGGTCAGGGTTTAATATGATCCAGAACGAAGACAGCAAACAGATGGCTAACTGGGAAGCACTTGTATTTAGATATTCCCAAGATGGGTGCAGGGTTTGCATTTGCCTGAGTGGTAGAACAACCACTAAGTAGCTCACATCTGTCTAACCATCTGTTATCTTATTCGGTGATGGTAAGTTTTCGATGAGTTTGTGAAGAGGAAGGATCTCAGCACAGCAAGCTGATACCATATGAGTTTTATAATTCAGAAGGAAGGCACTTGGTTGATGCTGTCAATACTGGCATTTTGTCCTAAACTAACCCAGTGCTTCACTGCTCCCCTTCCCATTGCCTGGTATTCTTTCCTGTAATTTTCCCCTGAAATCTCTTTAAAATGATCTTTCTGAAGCGGTCCCATTCCACAGTTCAACAACCATGTTGTATTTGTGTGTGCAAAAAGACTTGCTTTATTCTCTTCCTGATCATTTCAAATTGATCACCTCTTCTTACTGCCTCTGCTCGCAGGGGAGATGGTATTTCCTCTGTTAAAACTTCTTGGTAATTTTTTATAAGTTATATAATAAAGTCTCCTCTTGGCCTTTAAATCAGACCGGTCAGATTTGAACAGCTTCCTTGCTGCATTATCTCCAAATTTCAAGCTAAATTGACGCTGCCATTATACAAGTGATGCTGGGAGCAACATAGCAGCAATTCTGAATGTAATGCTACATTGAGGAGGTCAGTTTGTCTTCTGGAGCTGAGCATTGATGTTAACATTTGATGAAGTGCCAATACTGTCCCAACTTTTATCCAGTCAGCTTTGCAGAATTTAGGCTGAGCTGGATTTTGAAGATTAGGAAGGTGAGCTTGTGGAAGATGATAGTTTGGAAGCAGTTAGAGTGAAGCATTAGAAATATTTGTTTCATTCACAAACTAATCATGCCACAGGATTTCCAAACATGGAAGGTCTCATATTTAGGACTCTTTACACATTCACACTCAGGAAGCTGCACTCCCCTCCAGGGACAACTAGGGAAAAACATCATCTGATCGGTGATGGTCTGTAGCCCCAGGAGAGCTGCAGTGTCTCATATCAATAAGATCATTAATGTCTTGAATTTCTATACAGCTGAATTTTTCCAGTTTGTTGCTTTGGGTATATCATCCAATTCATTTCCTTCTAAAGAGAACTGTTTAACAGTTATCCATGGCTTCAACCTGGCATGATTCCCACAGTTGCAATGAGCAATCAACAAAGCATATGCCACTCAAGGCCCTGTATGTGAATTCTGTATGGTTTCATAAACAGGAATGTTGGCTACAGAAGTGGCCACTCATTTCCTCCAAGGTATCATCCATTGATGTCACAAGCAGAAGAGCGTGTTTGGCCAAGTGCAAAATTACATTTCCTGTTAAATATATAGCGGCTGACTGTAAGAGCATTGCTATACTTTGAAAAGAACGTATTATACTGACACCATCTAAAATGAGCCTTTCCCAGCCTTGACCATTCGTCTCTCCTGATTTCTAACACTCCATGTTAAACGGTTTCTCCTTGACTTATATCTGTAGCTGTTATATCTGCGGTATCTCCTTTTTATGTGACCTCAGAGTTTTCAGCAGTGGGATTTGTTCTCCCTGTTGCATTTCTCTGGTGGTGGTTACCCAGTAGGTTTTCCTTTACAGGAAGAGAACATGATGTTAAAGCAATGTGATTGGATTGAGCATTTATTTTCCACTGTATGACCTATTGTGATGGATGAACTGAACCATCCTTTTAGATCAAATATTCTACAAGACTGTCAGAGTGCTCTGAACCCAGGCAATCTGAATGCAGACTGATCTCGTATGAAGTGACACATCTCTTTCAGGACTAAATGTAGGGAAATGGGTCTAGTTTAATTGTGAAAACTGGGTGGCATGTGCAAGTTGGGCTGAAGGGTCTGTTTCCATGCTGTAGACCTCTATGACTAACTTACTCTGTACATACAAAAACAAAGTTGCTGGAAAAGCTCAGCAGGTCTGGCAGCATCTGTGGAGGAGAAAACAGAGTTAA